GAAAATTTTATGTTCGTTCATCCTGTTGGCCCCATTCCTCTTTTCCTCCGTCCCTCCTTCCTCCCTCCCCCTTCCCCTCCGCCATGGAGAAAGAGACCCACGAGGGAAGAAAAGGACGGCACAGAGTATTTTATTGTCAGTGGCGCAAAAAACCCGGATGTTTCCTATAGTTTTTCGCTTGTACAAACCCCGATAAGAGCTGTATTTACAGAAAGCCACATATATAGCTGCCCGCTAGAACTGTCAATGTGAATGCCCCCGCCCGGGGGAGTCGCGTCATCTACGGGTCACCAATGAAGGTCACCAATCATTGATGCAATTCTATTCATGAAAGATTCTTGAGCTAATTGTAATGACCAGACAGAATATGCGGGCCCCCAATTCGTGATCAGAAAATGCGTGTTTGACCCTCTTACATACGTCTTTCCCTAGGGCTCCGCCCCAAAGCCCGCGAGGGAGCGCCTGTAGTAGTTCCCCCTTCGCAATACTCCCCTCTTTGAATCCCCTCAGTTTGGACAGGCCCGGTACAGCGGAGCGGGTGCAGTGTCATGCATGAGTCATAACTGACCATCGATTGATTGGTTGCCATTCATCAATGACCGAATATAAGTAGGGGTGACGGTCTGGCCTTGGCCCCAGTCCATAGAATGCGCCCACTCGCCAGTGAGAACGAAAGTGGGAGGATTTGGAGAGCGTTTCGAGAAGTGCCCCACTCGGATGGCCAAGTGGGGGCTTAAATTTCACTTTCTTAGTGTGCGGCCATTTCAAGACGTTCACGACATTTTGGAGAAGTTAATGGGAGTATGGACTCGGAGTGTCTTGAAAGAGCAAGAGGAATAGAATAATGGTATTCTTGGGGCTTTGTGTGGGCTTGAAGTGGTTGGTGGGGTGGGATCCAGTACACACGAGTCGCCGAAAAGGTAGGTCTAGGACTCGGCTTAGGGACGAAAAAGTGATCAAGTGGAAAAAATGTCTTGCTCACAATCCAAAGAAGATAACAACACACACAATACAAAAAAATAGCAAACAAGAATAGAAAGTCAAGCTGAACGGAAGATTTTCGTCTCAAACAACGAAGAAAAAAGACGCTTTGGCGCTCAGAAAGGTAAGCGAAAGGTAGGACTGAGTTCTTTCGATCCGTGGGCCACGGCCCAGCCTTTCAGGCCCTGTTCATTGAGTGTTTGAAAAACCATCAGGATCCTTCTGTGGCCCTCACACACCCAAGAAATGCTAACTTAATTAGGATCCAATTTGACTTTTTCCCTTCTCGGACGCCCTCCACTCGGCTTGGGAACTCCACTCGGGCATTGCATGTCGCAGCCATCTTTCTCTGGCGATCAGTCCCATAGCGTGAGGACAAACCTTCACGGGAGAGATTTTGGCACAATTCTTGTCTTTTTTTTCCTCTGAGCTCCTAACATAGCTCACATGAGAATGCACACAACTTTTCCGGGGTTTCTTCCCTTACCCTCAAAGGGCACGCTGTGAGCGTCGCCTTAAGAGCATAAACCCATGTTTCAACACGTGGGAAAGCGGTCGTTGGCCGTTGACGGCGCGTGCAAGGTTGATCGTAGAGCTGGTCATGTTCATCACGAGGGAGGCGTATCAATCAAACCCTATGGTTTTGGAGTCTGGATAGAATCAAGATTCAACCAATATAGGGCATTCTTCTAGGCCCGGCCTCATACAAGACAAACGACGATGCGCAATTGCTGACAAGGGATGACAGAAACCAAAATCTAACGACTCCTGGTTCATGGGCTACGGTGCAAATGGTGAGTAAAATGGAACAGGAAAGGATAAAAGCGGCAACGAGGCGACTTGCAACTGAGGAAGAAAGATTAGATCTTCGCTGATCGAAAAGGACGAGTCGAATGCGAGCCAAGATCCAAAGCTAGTGCATAATTTAAAAACGAAACTATCTAGTATCGTCGACTATCCGTTATATATTTGAGAACTTGAGTATGTCGTCAGACTGATTTAGCGAGCAATTTCGATCTTGAATGTTCAGTTTCCCTCCTTGAGGGGAACCTCGTATCTGAAAAGTAGTCCCCGTCATCATAGATTGAGCGGATGCTATTCGCCCATATCCACTCCAGCCACTGATGACCTTAAAATTTGTTAGCGACAGTAGCCAGTTTTCAGCGGCTGCCAAGCGAAATGCCTCTATAACTTCCTCATTTGTTGTAGCCTCTACCATTCCCTGTTCGCTCGTACTCTTACCATGCTCACCATTAAGTTTAAGGGAATAATGTCGTGAGTGCACGATTTCATGTCTAACGTTCACAATAAGCTTGTCTCCTATTAGCTGCTTCAGCTCTTTCCTGGTTCTTACTGAATCGGTTACGAGATACCATAAAATTCTTTTGTGGTTCCACTTGTTGAGCTCGTTTACTAGCTGATGTTCGATTAGCGAGGCACAATCCAGGAAGTATTTTCTATTTTCATGTGTAGTGATCTGGTAAGCCGAAGACTTCAAGGCGTTTTTCATTGTCTGGTCTCCCTCCCGAATCTGAATTCCAATACTAAGGACCTCTGGACTAGTAATCTTGGAAAAATCTTCAGCGACTAGCCGTCGAGACTCATTGTTTATCTGTATCAAATAGTCAAATGCACACCCGAAAGCAGTTCTGGATGAGATTCCCATCTTATGAAGCTCGGGACCGTGATATATGCTCGAGAGTAGCTTTACAGTGTGGCCGACATTAGTTCTAACAAAAATTACAGGGACTTCTCCAAGTGCGGTGTTAAGGTCCATTTTCCCATCTAAAGCATCGTAAAGATTTCGTCCTTTCCCTTGAATACCTCCATGATTCATTTTAATTGTCTCGTTGGGGTATAGGCTTAGTGCATTCATGTCAACGCTCCAGTTGATGTTTGGCTGGTCGTAGACAAATTCGTACTTGAGTCCGTCCCCGAAATCCATAAGAAAAGCACGATTCGTAAGTAGCGCCACCCAAAAAAGGGTGATAGCCCCAGTCAAAGAGTCAGCAAGTCCTCCTGTTCCCATTGCCACAAGATAACGCTGATCAGCTCGTCCTTTGCGAATTTCGTCATGAAGTTGCGCATATGTCGATCGCCATTCACCTGTACATCTTGAAATGTTGCTCGTGCTTCTTTGTGACACATCCGACAATGACCAGTTTCTGGAGTAAATTTCACTCGGATTAATTATACTTAATAGCTTCAAGGATTGAAGAGCAGCGATGCACAATAAAATGTGTTTTGCGACCTTCATTCCGTGTCGCGTCATGTCGCCCATATTACCTCGAGATATCGTGGGGTACCTGCAATGAGGAAGTACAGAACCGTAATTTTACCAGTAAATGACACAACATAGGAAGCACTTGAAAATTTTATGTTCGTTCATCCTGTTGGCCCCATTCCTCTTTTCCTCCGTCCCTC